ACATATGTTATATACAAGATGAACGTTACAACATATGTTATATATACAAGAGGAACGTTACAACATACAATATACACAAGAGGAACGCTACAACACATGTTATATACAAGATGAACGTTACAACATACAATATACACAAGAGGAACGTTACAACACATGTTATATACAAGTGGAACGTAACAACATATGTTATATATACAAGAGGAACGTTACAACATACAATATACACAAGAGGAACGTTACAACACATGTTATATACAAGTGGAACGTAACAACATATGTTATATATACAAGTGGAACGTAACAACATATGTTATATACAAGAGGAACGTTACAACACATGTTATACACAAGAGGAACGTAACAACACATGTTATATACAAGAGGAACGTTACAACATATGTTATATATACAAGAGGAACATTACAACATACAATATACACAAGAGGAACGTTACAACACATGTTATATACAATATGAACGTTACAACATACAATATACATAAGAGGAACGTTACAACACATGTTATATACAAGTGGAACGTTACAGCATATGTTATATACAACAGGAATGTTACAACATATGTTATATACAAGAGGAACGTTACAACATATGTTATATACAAGAGGAACGTTACAACAAATGCTATATACAAGATGAAAGTTACAGCATATGTTATATATACAAGAGGAACGTTACAACATACAATATACACAAGAGGAACGTTACAACACATGTTATATACAAGAGGAACGTAACAACATATGTTATATACAAGAGGAACGTTACAACATATGTTATATACAACAGGATGTTACAACATATGTTATATACAAGAGGAACGTTACAACATATGCTATATATACAAGAGAATAGTTGCAACACATGTTATATACAAGATGAAAGTTACAGCATATGTTATATACAAGAGGAACGTTACATCACATGTTATACACAAGAGGAAAATTACAATATATGTTATATACAAGAGGAACGTTACATCACATGTTATATACAAGATGAAAGTTACAACATATGTTATATACTAGAGGAACGTTACAACACATGTTATATACAAGATGAAAGTTACAGCATATGTTATACACAAGAGGAAAATTACAATATATGTTATATACTAGAGGAACGTTACAACACATGCTATATACAAGATAAAAGTTACAGCATATGTTATATACAAGAGGAACGTTACAACATATGTTATATACAAGAGGAACGTTTCAACACATGTTATATACAAGAGAAACGTTACAACACATGACGTTACATCACATGTTATACACACATACAATATACACAAGAGGAACGTTACAACACATGTTATATACAAGAGGAACGTAACAACATATGTTATATACAAGAGGAACGTTACAACACATGTTATATACAAGATGAAAGTTACAACATACAATTGTATGTTATATACAAGAGGAAAGTTACAGCATATGTTATATACAAGATGACCGTTTCAGCATATGTTATATACAAGAGGAACGTTACAACATATGTTATATACAAGAGGAACGTTACATCACATGTTATACACAAGAGGAAAATTACAATATATGTTATATACAATAGGAACGTTACAACACATGTTATATACAAGAGGAACGTTACAACATATTTTATATACATGAGGAACGTTACAACACATATTATATAAAAGGGGAACGTTACAACATATATTATATACAAGAGGAACGTTACATCACATGTTATACACAAGAGGAAAATTACAATATATGTTATATAGAAGAGGAACGTTACAACATATTTTATATACAAGAGGAATGTTACAACACATGTTATACACAAGAGGAAAATTACAATATATGTTATATAAAAGGGGAACCTTACAACATATATTATGTACAAGAGGAACGTTACAACATATGTTATATACAAGAGGAAAGTTACAACATATGTTATATACAAGATGAACGTTTCAACATATGTTATATACAAGAGGAACGTTACAACACATGTTATATACAAGAGGAAATTTACAACTATGTGATATACAAGAGGAAGGTTACAACATATGTTATATACAAGAGGAACGTTACAACATATGTTATATACAACATGAACGTTTCAACATATGTTTTATACAAGAGGAACGTTACAACATATGTTATATACAAGAGAAAAGTTACAACACATGTTATATACAAGAGGAACGTTACAACACATGTTATATACAAGAGGAACGTTACAACACATGTTATATACAAGAGGAACGTTACAACATATGTTATATACAAGAGAAAAGTTACAACATATGTTATATACAAGAGGAACGTTACAACACATGTTATATACAAGAGGAAAGTTACAACACATGTTATATACAAGATGAACTTTACAACATATGTTATATACATACAAGAGACTTAAGACGTAGAGAGGCACACCAACGAAATACAGATTCACCTAGTTCCTAGAAAAAGCATCATCAAATTTACATGTGACATCTCAAATTCCTGTATTGACGGAAGCCTATTGATGCCAAATAAAATCTAAAAAAGCGATATATTGCATATATACGCAATAATTTTCTTATATATTTAATTTGGTACCAATAGGCCTCCGTATGTATCAAACCAATATGTAATAGAAAAGAAGTTTGACGTATAGATTTTAAACACAAACATTATTTCGTCAAATCTAAATTTTGTTCATTGATGGAAAATAAAAACGACAAAAATTGAACATATCTAGAGACAAAATCTGACAAAAAGAAAAGTATTCATCGGAATTTCAATGTCGTAATGACAGGGCATATGTACATAAAGCATTCCGTAATTTTGTATGTTTTGACATGTATGTATATCTTTCATTATAATCAGAAATTTGATTTTTTTCTTAAAAAAATTGAAATTAACGGATCCAGAACAAATATTGGACAAAATTGTGTAGAGCGAAATGAATCATAATAAAAGCTTTAAGTATATCCGGAAACGGATTCTGACAAATGTCTTATCCTTCAAAAAGATTTGGTTAGGTACTTAAAAGATATATATATACAAGTATATCCGGAAACGGATTCTGACAAATGTCTTATCCTTCAAAAAGATTTGGTAAGGTACTTAAAAGATATATATGTACACAACACAAAGAAGATTATCAACAGTTGATCATCATTGCATGTACACTATTTACATGTACACTATTTACACGTACACTATTTACACAAAAGATTATAAGCATGTCATAAGAGATAATTGGTACACGTGTCATTGCCTATAACATAAGGTTTGAGTTTCAGTTTGTATCTTGTCATAAACCATGTACGTTACTTTGTCAATTTTCAATGAATGCATTTATGTATTGTTCTGTTTGTGAGTCTTTGACTCGGAGGATATAAAGAGAAGAATATTTTTTTTTATATAAAACCTCGCAGCCGTAATGTTACCCTAATCGAAGTTGTTTCAGTTGTCATAATTATCTGTTAAAAATAATAATAATACACAGTTATGCGAGCGTCTTTATGATAAATACGATCATATAATAAAACACACCATCTAAAAGATCTATATATATATATATATATCCGCCTGAAGAAGCCCTAAAAGGCAGAAAGGCCTAGCGGACAATCTGAAAGATTTATGTTTTTATTCTATATTTTCCATCGCAAGGACTTATTTATTTATTATCTACTATATACTTTTTTTAACATAAATACATACCCATTTTACTCACCTTGTGTTCACATTTCTCCGTTTTATCACCATCACTGTAACATTTGGATTCACTATAATTTTGTCACAAGTTATACTCGGCGAATTCATGACAAACCATTTCCATGGAAGTCAATCCAGTCAGATTCAATTGATGTTCCTCCAAATGGACAAATTCCAGTTTTTCTCTTCTGACGCTTGACTTGAACCTCGAAACGGTGATTGACAGACGAGGCTAGTACCTAAAAATATATAAACTTTATTTATTTTACAACAATTTTGAAACAAATTATTTCAACTTATATTAATCACTCTTGTTGGCTCGGATGTTAGCGCGCGGAGGGATGTGGGAGGAAACCGGAGTACCCGGAGAAAACCCATGTGGTCGGGCAGGTGATACCCCATACCTGTGATCAGTCGCGATGAAAAGCATGAATAAATAGAGAAAAAATATCATGTTTTAATTGTGTCACGGAATTAGATTTCTATGTTAGTCAGTGGTTGTATTCCACAGAGACATAATAGTTGTTTTCTTGTGTTTGAAAACGTTTTAAATGTTTTTTTCCCCTTGGGCCTGTTCGTTTATGCGGAAAAACCGGTTTGTCCGTTTTTAAATATAACAATTTCGGGTATAGATCCTGGCGGACCTGAAATTGTTTATTCAGGCCTTGCAAGGCTTTTTCAAGGCTCGCCTGAATATATAGCCCAGCGAAGGACGAAAGCCAGGCTCATGATGTTATATAAAATAATAAACGGACATGTGGCTATTGATCCATCCCAATTCATAACATCAGGCGACAGGAGAACCAGAAGGGCCCACAGAATTAATCAAATATCAACCCACACAAATTTGTATAAATATTCATTCTTCCCTAGAACTATTGTTAACTGGAATTCGTTACCATCATCCCTAGCACAGGAGCCAAACCTGAACTCTTTCAGGTCTGCCCTGGCTAATTTCAACCTTTCATGGTGTTTTTTTTTTATCTTATAGTACTTAAATGATTTTGGCATTTCATATTACTTTAACAAAAATAATTGTTTTTAACATTTTTAATGCCACCTCCCAGGAACAAGTGCACTCAAACCTTTGAGTCTGATCCTTGTAAAGGAAGAAGAAAAAGCAGCATCTGATTACTAGGTCCGACCTTATTTGATAAACGAACAACTGTGGTCCGACCGGTTCAACCGTTTATTTTATATAAAGTGAGGGAGGTTCACAGAACAGCCAACAATCCGACACTTTCAGACCTGAGTAATGTCGACGTTGTCGTTCTCGTTATAACCGCCCACGGTTTCAGGCGTCGTAAACCGTTCACGTTACTGTGCTACAAAACATCAGCAACTGGTAGGGAAGGTTTCGGGCGTTGTCACTTGCAAGAATATACAGTCGGATTGCGAAAAGGTAAGTAATAGACGGGCACATTTGATATACTTTAGATGTGATATATAAAACTGACCATTATTTTTTTGGTTAAAAATGATGCATACATCTAGGCGAGGCAATGATCAGTGCAAGGGAAAGCATGACATTCCTCGACTGAGTAGTGTGTATTAGCCCTCTTGCCTACCTATCGATCACCATGTCCCAATTTTTGACAAATTAATCGGTCATTTCTGACCGCAACATCCATGTCCTGAGTGTTTATGTTACCATATTGTAGTGTTAACCGTGCTGGAATGTTTTAGGCTGCTAGAGGAGACGAGATATGTGTTAAACAAGTTCAATTCAACCCTAAAAGTGAACTGTCAAGTTTTTAACATACAGTGTGACTACACAAATTCAGTACCTGGTAAAATACTTCCGCAGTCTTATCGGTTTTGTTAGATTCCCGATTTTTTTTTTCCTTGTACATTATTTTGTGTTACAGAAGTAAAGTTAGGTCACTTTTGGTAAATATCATGTACTTGGTTTATTTTTTAATTTTACCACAATTTTAAAACTTGTATCAGCCCTTTCAGCCCAGGGTGTCTTCATGGGTTATTGAAATGAAACTTTCCATCAAACATATACAAACTTTCAACGGAAGGAAAATTGACTACCCTCTGACAGGTGTATAAACTTAATAAACTATAGAAGAAAAAAATATGTATCATTAATTACATCAAGTAGTTTATGACATTATTGGTCAATTAAATGCAAGTTTAAAATATCAATTCAGTGATCTTAGATCCTTATTTCTTCAGTTCATATGCAGTGGCAGATCCAGGGAGGGGTGTGTGTCAAGAACCCCCCCCCCCCCCCCCCCCTCCCAAAAAAACCCCTGAAAATTTTCTTTAAAAATCATGTATTTTCACCATTTTCCTCAATTTTTCCCTACATGGACCCCCCCCAGGTAGTTCTCTGGATCCACCACTGATATGAGTTCATTGACTTGTTTATAATAATCATATATTTATCACTATCTGTTATGGAAGTGCTTTTCAGTTACAAGTATTTTCATACATTGTTTTTCTGAAACTACAAGTTCAGAGAATCCAAATGAAAAGAGGTTGGAAACTTCATCATGCATGTATAAAAATATATATATATATCCGAAAGACTGTTCAACTAACAACAATGTTGGTTGTGACAAAAACCAACAAAAAGTTTTAAATACCTTGTGTCACATACTGTTGTTGTATTGTAATGCTTTGTATTAAGGCTGTTGTGGTGAAAGTGGGCTAGGTGAAGCATGGTTAATACCCTGAAACATAACTTAGACAGATTAATCTTTTCCTGTGTATATGTACACCTCGTCTATGTACTGGTGAATTTAGTGGTTTAATTCTATACAGTTAACGGTGAGTGAAAGCTAAGAACTAAGTCGAACCTCACGATCATGGTGGTTGATCTCTTATACAGTGTACACAAACCTAGGAGACAAACCCTTCGTCAACTCTGCCTGTCACAAGGTAAATTATCGGGTAAAAAATTACGAAATATTTGGGGAGAAGAAACATTCTTGTCAGTTAGATATTCTTTGTTGGGGAGTATTGTACAATTGTATAATGTATGTACATGTTATTGTACTAGGTAACAGGAAAACAAACTGTTATATATTTTCGGCCTTATGCAATAATGGCACACAAGCAATCTATTTATAGATTCAGTGCAGGATTTAAAAGAACCAATGCACTAATGACTTTTATAAGACAAACCATTACATAACTATATAGATACAAAGTCAATAATTTTACCATACAAAAAGTGAACTGTTATTAGTGATCAATCTACAATTTATTTTCATGGGTCCTTTTCAACTGTATTGCTAAAAAAAATGGGGTCACCAATGTTAAATTTATGCAAGTATTTTCAGGAATTCTACGAGTCCCTTCAAAATTCTACGAGTCCCTTCAAAACTCTACCAGTACAAGACTAATTGGGACTCATATGTAGATTGATCACTGCAGTGTGTAAAAACAGCAGTTGTGACAGAGCCTACACATATATATGTGTAAAAACAGCAGTTGTGACCGAGCCTACACAGATGTATAAAAACACCAGTTGTGACAGAGCCTACACATATATATGTATAAAAACACCAGTTGTGACAGAGCCTACACATATATATGTATAAAAACACCAGTTGTGACCGAGCCTACACAGATGTATAAAAACACCAGTTGTGACAGAGCCTATACACAGATGTATAAAAACACCAGTTGTGACCGAGCTTACACAGATATATTGTTGTTTTTGCTTAATGTCCCTTATCTCTGGGATAAGACGCAGACAGTTTGATGGTCTGACGTTTGTTGGAAGGTCTACAGCGGGCGTCACAGGTTTTACTGTATTGGTTATTTCTGCTTTACCTGGTGAAGGCAAAAGAATGCATTTTGAAGGCAGTTTATAATCATTTATAATAAGTTTATTTCCGCTCATACATACAATATTATTAATGTTGTTACAGAATTGTATGTAAACATGTTCCATTTATATGTTCTTGTCATGTAAACATGTTCCATTTATATGTTCTTGTCATGTAAAATTATGGATATTTCAAGGCTTTGTTAATGGGTTAATTACTGTGTAATATTCAACATTAAAAGTTCTGTGTAAACAAGATCATTTCTCAACTCCATGTCTCTAGTTAAAATAATGTGTTAATAGAAAACAATCACAAGAGTAATCTAGTTAGCCATGCCTTGGCCTTTTAAATAGATTTCTGGGTTAGTGAATTTAGTGACAGTACATGTATACTTAATCATTAGGACGTTACATAGGTTTGGGATAAAATATTCAAAATCTGCCCATTGACTAAAACTCTCAATATGAAAGTATATTTGTACGACCTGTATTCCTTGGTTAAATACATGGCATAATGCTCAAAATAGGACAGGACAGGTCAGACTCTGAGCTGATCTTGAAGTGCCCTGGTACTGTAAGGGGTTTAGGCCTAGCCTAGAGTCGAATCAAATTTCGGGGAGTCAAAACCAACTCTCAATTAATTATAAGGGTCTACCTTCAGTCCTAGGCACAGGAAAACATATTTCCCACATAGGAAAACCATAGAAAAATAAAAATGGAACACAATATTTACATACAGTACAATATCATATATATAGGTATTTTTTGGGACACAGACATTGCAGTCCTGGACTTGAGCATTTCCTGTGGGACTAATAAACATTTGGAGAATGCACTCTATCCCCTAGTTATAGGACTTTTTTTTAAAAATATTTTGAAATTATGGTCAGAACTCTCATGAAAATTCCTACAAATATCTCTGGTACATTAACATATATTCTTGTATATATTGTATTTTATATATGGTAACTTTAAGTGATACATATGCAGCTGTTGATAATTCCTGTACCAAATTAAAGGTTTAAATAACTCAAAGTATTTTATACACACATGACCTAATTGTGGAGCATAAAGACCTAAAAATAATAACTGGTGTGTTTCTGATTTCCCTACTGATGCTATTTTTTACCTTTCCTTAAATGTTTTTGAGCCATATTTTACTGTCCTGGCACGAAGTGCCTGTGAGTTTATGGTATATGGTGTGTTCTGTCCGTTGAACGTCAACTAAATTTCTTTAAACAATTTCTTCTTAAGAACTTGAGGACCTCGGGTCTTGATGTTTTGCTAGTATGCACCTGGGACAGATCAGTGCTATAACCTTTCTTCCAATAAATGACCTTGATCTGATTTCAAGGCAAAGTTCTGTGGTCACAGGTGTAGAAATGTTTAAACAACTTCACCTGAATAACAAGTAGGACCTAGGTGATGACATTTGACCAGTATATGTACCTGGGATATAGTGCTATGAGGTTTCCTCAAATGGATTGAAGGTCACAACGCGTACGGAAGGGTCGAATATGTTTGAACAACTTCTTCTATAACAGACACATATGGTGATGATATTTGGCCAGTAGCATGCTGTGATGTGGTGCCATAAACTTTCCTCAAATAAATGACCTTGACCTACCACATATTTGCTGTGTAGAGATAAAAACGTAACATTCATTTGACTAGATGTACAGTGTCTAGCAGTGTTCTCTGTAAGAGGTAGACAGGATTTGTACATAATAAACCAAAATGTTTGATGAACATTAATGCAAATGATGAATAGGTTTCAAATTCAGGATTTCTAGGTTTCAGAGAATTAACATTGACAACTTGCTATAGTGCTTAAACATTCAGGTTCCAGCTAGCTGTGATGTTGCATTCAATTTGTTTAATGTATACAGGTGCTGAATTTTTCTAACTGCCTGCCTATAGTGGACGGTATATACATACAAATGATAAAAATCTATTCAAATTCATTTGTACATGTATGTATATACATGAAAAATCATTGATCCTTGTACAATGTATATTGTATACATGTGCACAGTGTACAAGTTATGAATTACATATTTATCACACATCAAATCTTGTAGGTATATGTTCAGATTATAAATTACACATTTACCACATTTTTTCCCCAAAAAAGTAAAACCTTTTCATTTGAATTGTCACCTCCTACATTATATTGACATACGTGATCATGAATCATCGTGAATGGTGGGTGGATGTCTTATGTCGCAATAATTACCAGTAGTGTATTGATATATATAGCAAAGTACAGAAGTAAACGTAAGGAACCATGTATTCTTATTATGTATAATAAGTGGGTGTGGTCATGGAGTGTTATACATGAACAGTATGTATTGTGTGTTTACATCATACCATGATGGTCTGTTCCTCACATGGATACGTAGATGACATGCTATTTGTAGGTGTATAAGTGTCTGTCTACGTGAATTCTCTCTACAAAAAATAAAATTGAGATTATTTATAAGACCAGTTAATACACCTGCTATGTATGTACAGGTGTAATAATTGGATGGTTGTGATAATACACCTACAACACACTCCCGTATGACATAAGCAGGGAAATGTACCGTAAGATACCACTCAAGTTGGAAATTAACATTTTGTTTGTGAAGTGGAGGACATAATATCAATCAATATTGAATGAACAGTCTTCAGATCTGTCATTTTGATTCTATTCAAAGTCTAACACGAAACATTTGATCGCCGTGTAGTGTAGACTTTTTTATACCGACAGTATATATATTGATTATGGAATGGCCGTCCTGTAACACTGTATTGTCCAATTGTATAAAATATTCTCCTGGGGAAGGTCCGTAATACAAAGTTTAGGTTGTGTACATGTACACATTGTATAAGTACATGTATACTATAATACAATTGGTAAGCTCCTTGACGAGGACACGTCCCTCCTCCGTACACCTTTAGCTTGTGATAGCTCACCTTTACATTAGAATGTTCTTTATTGATTGTTCCTGTTATAACTGTCACCGAATCATCTGATTTAGGAACTTTTCATACACAGGGCCTGCCCACATTTAACACTGTGTCTTGTATGCATTAAAGATTTTAGCATTCAAACAGACCACACGATTTAGATAAAACATGTAAAACAATAAACAAACAAATTCTATACTACACCTTACACTGTATTGTGTATTACACTAAAGATTTTCAGTTTAATACACAATACAGCATATGTAGTGTAGATTCTGTTTGTTTTTGTCTATTGTTTTTCCGAGTGGACAGGTGATATCCCATACTTGCATTGACAACCACTACCAGTAACTATAAAACACATTCCTGATAATTAGTTGCTCAGTCCAGGTATTGTGGTATACCTATCGTACATATAATATTGGTATATGTATGACGTAAGTGCTGATGGTGTGTTGTATAAATAGATCTAAATAGGCAGTAGTACTGATAGTGTTAGCACACCTTGAGGGTAACATTCTTGATATGTGAGTTTTTCAGCAACACAAATTCTTGATTTTGTCTAAATTTTCAGCACACTTATCATGACATGCACTGAAATACTGTTGAACATGTATAGGAGAGAAATCACTGTAAATCCATGATCATTTACAAGATAAAAGATACGTTTGAATTCATTTAAAAAAATGTTACCATTTCTGACTTGTAATGTTATATTTCTGACTTGTAAAGCTACCATTTCTGAATTGTATTATTACCTAAATGTGTTGTGAATCAGCGGTTTTAGAAATACTTAATTGAAACTTAACATAAACGTTAAAGTACCTGTACATTGTTAGCTTTGTGTATGTAGACAAGTACAGTTTGTTTAAATGGTATTGAAAATTATCGCTGGCTATACGTTTTAAAAAGTGTACATTGCACTAACAGTCTGACAGTGGGTATATTTATTTTGTTATCAGTTGTTATGATCCTTGGATTAAAATCTAAAGCTGTCTGGATTGCTAGGTACATTGTACATGTACTGTTAGTGTAAGGCAACAAGGAATTAATATTTACCTTTTTAAAAAGTCAATATTTACATGTTTTGAAACTCAGTTTCATGTACATTTATATATATATAATTATTATAATTTCTGACTTGTAATGTTACCATTTCTGACTTGTAATGTTACTATTTCTGACTTGTAATGCTACCATTTCTGACTTGTAAAAAGTTACCATTTCTGACTTGTAATGTTACCATTTCTGACTAGTAAAGCTACCATTTCTGACTTGTAATGTTACTATTTCTGACTTGTAAAGCTACCATTTCTGACTTGTAATGCTACCATTTCTGAATTGTATTATTACCTTTTGTCAGATTTGTAAAGCAGTAGCTACACCATGTCAGCCTACCCAACAGCATCACCTGATGGCCAGGCTCCACCTGTAGCGAAACAGCCTATCCCCGGAGGTAAATATGTGTGACCACAGTAGTTTCTACCCAAACCAAATCATCTCATTACATACAAGATATGTAATCATACATCTACATTAATTTATATACGTGTACTAGCAAATCTCATCATATAAAATACATTGTCAATGGCATCATCTCCCCTTGCTAATATAGCATCATTTGTGACATCTATGCATGCTCATTGAAAATGGTTACCAAAAGTATAATTAATTAATGTTAAACATAATCCTAGCATCATGTTAACTGACAAATAGTTACATGTGAAGGTATTTAAAATCAATTTCAGTAATTTGTGAAGTTTACACATTTTTGCATCTTGGATTTATTGAATCCTTTCATTATTTTTTAGGTCACCTGAGCTTTGCTCAAGTGACCTATTCTAATCGCTTTTCGTCCGTCGTGCGTCGTGCATAAACTTTTACATTTTCAACTTCTTCTCAAGAACCAGTGGATGGATTTTTTTCAAACTTGGTCAGAATCATCCTTGGTAGATGAGGCTTCAAAATTGTAAAATTGGGATTCCTACCCCAACCCCTGGGGCCAGGGCGGGCCCCAAAGGGAAAATTAACCAATATTTCAAAAATCTTCTTCTTCAGACTCAGAGGTACTACACTCATTTTCTCTGCATGGAAAGAAAGATCATCCGGGGCTTTACTTAAATTGTAAATTTCAGGACCCCCGAGCTATCCGTTCTCCCTTGGGGAGGGGGTAAAGTTTACTATAGTTTATATAGGGAAATAACACTTTTGGGTATATTTTGACAACTTTCTGTAGGAAATTATTTTTACTTGGTGAGAATTATCCTTGGAGGTAGATGGTTTCAAATTGTAAAATTGAGATTCCTACCCCGACCCCTGGGGCCAGGGCGGGGCCCCAAAGGGAAAATTAATCAATATTTCAAAAATCTTCTTCTCCAGACTCAGAGGTACTACAGTGATTTTCTCTACGTGGAAAGAAAGATCATCAGGGGCTTTACTTAAATTGTAAATTTCAGGACCCCCGAGCTATCCGTTCTCCCTTGGGGAGGGGGTAAAGTTTACTATAGTTTATATAGGGAAATAACACTTTTGGGTATATTTTGACAACTTTCTGTAGGAAATTATTTTTACTTGGTGAGAATTATCCTTGGAGGTAGATGGTTTCAAATTGTAAAATTGAGATTCCTACCCCGACCCCTGGGGCCAGGGCGGGGCGCCAAAGGGAAAATTAACCAATATTTCAAAAATCTTCTCCTCCAGACTCAGAGGTACATTTGTACTACAGTGATTTTCTCTACATGGAAAGAAAGATCATCAGGGGCTTTACTTAAATTGTAAATTTCAGGACCCCCGAGCTATCCGTTCTCCCTTAGGGAGGGGGTAAAGTTTAATATAGTTTATATAGGGAAATAACACTTTTCGGTATATATTTTATCCATTTTCAGCAGAAAATTACTCAAACTTAGTCAGAATCATCTTGGGTGAATGAGAGTATTACTTTGTAAAATTCGGATTCCTGCCCCATCCCCAGGGGCTAGGGCGGGGCCCCAAAGGGAACATTTACCAATATTTTCAAATTCTTATTCATTGATGACATATCAAGTATTGTATTTCACTTAGTTTACATGCAGATTTCCACATCACATCTTCACAATAAAATAAAGCTACCAGTATCCAGGTGACCGCTAAGGCCCTTGGGCCTCTTGTTTTATAATAAATAACTCAGGGCCTCATAACAATAGACCTGTGTTCTAGTAGATTTAATGCCAATGCATGTACAAAGTATGTACCTGATCAAAATGCATTTTTATGTGTGCATATTTATAAACTTTGTCCTTTTTTAATAGGTCCAGGCCAGACACCTATGGCCCCAGGGGCAGCTCCTGTTGGTCCCGGGGGTTGGGCAGCAGGACCCCAACAGCCACCAGCCAACTGCCCCCCAGGGCTTCAGTACTTGGCCCAAGTAGATCAACTGCTCGTCAAACAGAAGGTGGAGGGTTTTGAAGGTAAAAGCTGGTACCATGTGTTAGATACTCATCAATCTGTACAACATTGTTCTAGAATAGAAAAGGTAATTTTGGTTTGCCTTTCAGAACATAATTTCAAAAAAGATTTTTACACTTTTAAAGTTTATTTAATTTGCACTCTTTTTGTAGATGAAACAAAGTTTGAGGGTGCACTCATACATTATCATAGTTAAACCTGTGTTCTTTTAACTCATTGAAAAAGTTTTACATTTCGTAATTTTACTTTACAGCTGTGACAGGAATTGAGACCAACAACAAGTACGAGGTGATGAACTCTCTCGGACAGATCGTGTATAGAGCTCATGAAGGTAACATTCTAGTTGTACACCAAAAAGATCGTGTTTAGAGCTCATGAAGGTAACATTCTAGTTGTACACCAGACAGATTGTATATAGAGCTCACGAAGGTAACACTCTAGTTGTACATCAGCATTAAAAGGTCTCGTACATATTGTGTAAAGAGCTCACAAAGGTAACACTCTAGTTGTACATCAGTATTAAAATGTCTCGGACAGACTGTGTAAAGAGCTCACGAAGGTAACACTCTAGTTGTACACCAGTGTTAAAATGTCCTGGACAGATTGTGTAAAGAGCTCACGTAGGTAACACTCTAGTTGTACACCAGTGTTAAAACATCTCATACAGATTGTGTAAAGAGCTCGCGTAGGTAACACTCTAGTTGTACACCAGTGTTAAAATGTCTCGGACAGATTGTGTATAGAGCTCACGTAGGTAACACTCTAGTTGTACACCAGTGTTAAAACATCTCGTACAGATTGTATAAAGAGCTCACGAAGGTAACACTCTAGTTGTACACCAGTGTTAAAATGTCCCGGACAGATTGTGTATAGAGCTCAGGAAGGTAACACTCTAGTTGGACACCAGTGTTAAAATGTCTCGGACAGTTTGTGTATAGAGCTCACGAAGGTAACACCCTAGTCGTACATCAGTAATTAAATGTCCTGGACAGATTGTGTATAGAGCTCAGGAAGGTAACACTCTAGTTGTAAGTAATTAAATGTCTCGGACAGATTGTATAAAGAGCTCACGAAGGTAACCCTCTAGTTGTACATCAGTAATTAAATGTCTCTGACAGATTGTGTATAGAGCTCACGAAGGTAACACTCTAGTTGTACCTCAGTAATTAAATGTCTCGGACAGATTGTGTAAAGAGCTCACGAAGGTAACACTCTAGTTGTACATCAGTAATTAAATGTCTCGGACAGATTGTGTAAAGAGCTCACGAAGGTAACACTCTAGTTGTACATCAGTATTAAAATGTCTCGTACAGATTGTGTAAAGAGCTCACGAAGGTAACACTCTAGTTGTACATCAGTAATTAAATGTCTCGGACAGATTGTGTATAGAGCTCACGAAGGTAACACTCTAGTTGTACCTCAGTAATTAAATGTCTCGGACAGATTGTGTAAAGAGCTCTCGAAGGTAACACTCTAGTTGTACACCAGTGTTAAAATGTCTCGGACAGATTGTGTAAAGAGCTCACGAAGGTAACACTCTAGCTAGTTGTACATCAGTAATTAAATGTCCTGGACAGATTGTGTAAAGAGCTCACGTAGGTAACACTCTAGTTGTACACCAGTATTAAAATGTCTTGGTCAGATTGTGTAAAGAGCTCATGTAGGTAACTCTCTAGTTGTACATCAGTATTAAAACATCTTGGACAGATTGTGCAAAGAGCTCACGTAGGTAACACTCTAGTTCTACACCAGTATTAAAATGTCTCGGACAGGTTGTGTAAAGAGCTCACGTAGGTAACACTCTAGTTGTACACCAGTATTAAAATGTCTTGGACAGATTGTGTAAAGAGCTCATGTAGGTAACACTCTAGTTGTACATCAGTATTAAAACATCTTGGACAGATTGTGTAAAGAGCTCACGAAGGTAACACCCTAGTTGTACACCAGTGTTAAAATGTCTCGGACAGATCGTGTATAGAGCTCAGGAAGGTAACACTCTAGTTGTACACCAGTGTTAAAATGTCTCGTACAGATTGTGTAAAGAGCTCATGAAGGTAAAACTCTAGTTGTACACTAGTGTTATTTGATAGATCCCTGTTGCTGTACCCCTAACAGATGTTTATTTCACTAAAGTTTTGACATGAGGATACCTATTTGATAGATCCCTGTTGCTGTACCCCTAACAGATGTTAATTTCACTAAAGTTTGACATGCGGATATCTATTTGATAGATCCCTGTTGCTGTACCCCTAACAGATGTTAATTTCACTTAAGTTTTGACATGAGAATACCTATTTGATAGATCCCTGTTGCTGTACCCCTAACAGATGTTAATTTCACTAAAGTTTTGACATGACAATACCTGTTTGATAGATACCTGTTGCTGTACCCGTAACTGTTGTGGAGCAAAGCGACCATTTGACATCAAGATCACAGACAACACTCACAAAGAGGTCATTCACCTGTCCCGAGGACTCAGGTGTTCTTCTTGTTGGTTTCCCTGCTGTCTACAGGTAAATACACCTTTTGTTCTTTGTTTGTATTTTCTCTATCATGTATGTATTATTCTTAATGTCTTCACACAACACAGTGTTACTAATAATTTAAGAATACGAAATTATGTTTAGACCCCTGTTCAAGAATACCTGGGAATCTTATAATTTGATATTGAAATAAAAAGGCCAAATCTGAAATTTCTGACGTAAGTATAGTAAGCGGTATATTATGATGAAATGATAGAAGCAGAAATGCATAAATTATATCGATGAGATTTCAGAAGTGTCTGGTAACATTTATATACAAATATACCATACTGTGATCTTGTATTACAGAAAGTTACTGTTGAAGCTCCACCAGGAAAGGTCATCGGGTATGTGTCACAGTCCTGGAGCTGTTGCAAGCCACGTTTCTGCATTGAGAATGCCGCAGAGGAAACTGTGCTGAGGATTGTGGGCCCGTGCTGTACATGGAACATGTGTGGAGATATTGAGTTTGATGTAAGATATATTCTACCAGATTTTAGAATGCTGTTGATACAAACCTGTTTTCTAAATTAACTGTTAATATGCATTATAGAAGTTTTCAGTCTTGATAAATTCACTTACACATTCTGCGCAAGTTGACAGCTGTTATAGGAAAGCTATCGTCACCATGCTGCTACAATCAGTATTGTTTTCATCATGTCTTTATTAAATTACACAATTTTAATGCGACTTTTCTGATGGAAGTCTAGCTAGTGTGTAAAATATGGCCCCCCTCTTTACTGATGCTTTTATAAAACTGACGCTTATAGGCTACTTCTACTGACTATATTCATTGACACAGGTGTTTATTGAGCATTGACACAGGTGTTTATTGAGCATTAACCTAACTGTAATGGACAGTTCTAAATTACATTATCAACTCCTTTTCATTCCAATAGCAGTAAGACATCTTGCTATGACATAAACTGGTATGTATCCTAAAGAGGTTTGTCAAATATTATAGATCCACTGATTTAGACATAAAACTTGCAAACTAAATAGGAAAGACTGAAGGTGGTGTTTTATAATGACATAAATCAAATAAAGAATAGACAAAAGGTAATATTCTATTGTGCTGCCAGATAATCATAACGTACAAATGTTATATTTTTGATTGAAAACTGAAGACACATTTGTTTAGTTTTGGATCTAAAATAAATTGATACCATTTCTTTTGTTTAGTGAGTCCGGGAAAACAATAGTTGGTTAGGGTCATTAAAATGTGCTTCTACCTCTCATTTACTTTCGGAATAGCAATAACTTTTAAGTCTGATCACATTAGCTTTTAAAGAATAATTTTCAGGCAAAATTTTAAAAATACATATTGATGGACTCTTGTCAAGTAATGGTACATCTTATTTGATACGTCCTTTTGTCTGTTACTATCGTAAACTGTTTTGCTGTGTTACAGGTTTACGCGGCAGATGAGGAGACATTCGTTGGTCGTGTGACGAAGCAGTGGTCGGGACTTGCAAAGGAAGTGTTTACTGATGCTGACAACTTTGGAATTTCGTTTCCACTCGACTTGGACGTTAATGTCAAGGCTACCCTGATGGGGGCAGTGTTTCTTATTGTAAGGTTCTCACCAGGAATCATTTGTTTTGTTTGTTGATTATGTAGCTTATAACTTATTTGTCTGAATGATTAGAAACCAGTCTGGAAAGATCTGGTGCTTATCTAATACAGAATGTCTGTTGTAGGGGTAATATTGTACTGTTTTTAAGACCAGTTTTATTCTTTTTATAAAGGTTTAGGTAAAAAGATACTAAGCATTGAGAAATAACACAGATTTTCAATAAGATTGTTTCAAAGAATTGAATAAATGGACTATGATTGTTACCAAGTTGATATATTTTAACTGTCATTCCATTTTGTTTTACTTCTCTCTGTACTACTTTGTTTTACTTCTCTCTCTGTACTACTTTGTTTTACTTCTCTCTGTACTAATTTGTTTTACTCTACTTTGTTTTACTTCTCTCTGTACTACTTTGTTTTACCTCTCTCTGTACTACTTTGTTTTACTGCTCTCTGTACTATTTTGTTTTACTTCTATCTGTACTACTATGTTTTACTTCTCTCTGTACTACTTTGTTTTACTTCTCTCTGTACTACTTTGTTTTACCTCTCTCTGTACTACTTTGTTTTACTTCTCTCTGTACTACTTTGTTTTACTTCTCTCTGTACTACTTTGTTTTACTTCTCTCTGTACTGTTTTGTTTTACTTCTCTCTGTACTACTTTGTTTTACTTCTCTCTGTACTATTTTGTTTTACTTCTCTCTGTACTACTTTGTTTTACTTCTCTCTGTACTATTTTGTTTTACTTCTCTCTGTACTACTTTGTTTTACTTCTCTCTGTACTATTTTGTTTTACTTCTCTCTGTACTACTTTGTTTTACTTCTCTCTGTACTATTTTGTTTTACTTCTCTCTGTACTACTTTGTTTTACTTCTCTCTGTACTATTTTGTTTTACTTCTCTCTGTACTACTTTGTTTTACTTCTCTCTGTACTATTTTGTTTTACTTCTCTCTGTACTACTTTGTTTTACTTCTCTCTGTACTATTTTGTTTTACTTCTCTCTGTACTACTTTGTTTTACTTCTCTCTGTACTATTTTGTTTTACTTCTCTCTGTACTACTTTGTTTTACTTCTCTCTGTACTATTTTGTTTTACTTCTCTCTGTACTACTTTGTTTTACTTCTCTCTGTACTATTTTGTTTTACTTCTCTCTGTACTACTTTGTTTTACTTCTCTCTGTACTATTTTGTTTTACTTCTCTCTGTACTACTTTGTTTTACTTCTCTCTGTACTATTTTGTTTTACTTCTCTCTGTACTACTTTGTTTTACTTCTCTCTGTACTATTTTGTTTTACTTCTCTCTGTACTACTTTGTTTTACTTCTCTCTGTACTACTTTGTTTTACTTCCCTCTGTACTATTTTGTTTTACCCTTTCTGTACTTCTTTGTTTTACTTTTCTCTGTACTACTTTGTATGTTAATATGTGTATCCTGTATGCTATTGTATGTATCCTGTATGCTATTGTATGTATCATGTATGCTATTGTATGTATCCTGTATGTATCCTGTATGTTGCTGTAGGTATCCTGTATGTTGATGTAGGTATCCTGTATGTTGCTGTAGGTACTTTGAATATAACTTAATCATATATTACTCTATGTTTTCTGACATATTTGTGCTGTTTGTTTCAGGATTTCATGTTCTTTGAGAATAACACAAAGAAAGATGATGTAAGTACAAGTTAATTCAATTCTAATAGAATGTAGTCGAGGTAGTAGAATTACAGACATGATGTACTGGTCGAATTGAGTAGTAGGTGATCAGAATATGTCGTTCCAAATTATGTTTAAATTTGAAATTTGTTGTTTGCAAAGACAAACCTGAAATGTTTTAAGGTCCCTGCCAGCATGAAGTGTTTTCTGTTGGTACAGTGTAGGTGTCAGTACTTCTGTTATTATAAATCATGGCTAGACTTTACATTAATTGCCATTACTCAAATGTTCAACTGTCGTCAAACTTCATATGAAGACAGCTTCTTATAGAGTACTCTACCAATATTTCACATGTATGTCACTGTGACCTACTTTTTCGGATTTTACTTAAATTAGCTCTATTTAAATCAAGCAGGAGAAGGGCCTAAGTTTAATAAATTCTTTTTTGTCTTTTTCAGAAAGGAAAGAAAACGTTATCAGGAAGTGCCTAATCCTTTGGAAGTCGAGGTGTCATTGCTCACATCATTGGAGATCAAAGTTCACCTTTCTGCATCATATAATTTGATGACGATATATCTTATGTTGTATGACACAAACTGACCAACATATTGTGGAAACTCATTTACTAGTAATGTTCTAAATGCTGAAGTCGTTGAAAATAGTTAGTTCTGATCTCTTCTTTGAAAACACTGTCATTATTTTTGGAAGATGATAAGGCTGTTCTGCTTGGCTAAATGAGATGCCAAAGGCCCAGTACTCTGTATAAACTTGTACATGTAACCTAGGCTGAGTATATATGGGCTCTTCTTATTTTTTGATTATTTCTTTATGTTTGTTCTTGTTAATGGCCCTGAATGACTAAAATTGTGAATTGGCTGTGAAACAAAAACATATTTTATTTCCTTATTTACAGAAAAAATTATTGAAAATGATATTTATATTACACCTTCATCTGTGGAATGTGTAGTACATGTTTTTGTATCACACACTATTATTTGGTTGTTCTATTTATATATGATTTTATAAAACAAACACACATTTACATATGTACCATTATCATTTCTTGCTGCCTTTATAGTTATAACAAGTTAAAAATATTTTTAGACCAACAATTCTCTGTCCTGAAATCTGCTGATTGTCTTATGTTGTACCCATTGGTTTTTCCCTTTTTCTAATTAGATGCTTTGATGGGCATTGTAGTTGTACTGTTAGATGGACGATATTTTTTCTCTTTTAAAACAATAAAGAAAAACTGTATGAAGAAACTTGTGAATGTTATTACGATATTGATTGCTTTTATAGTATTCTGGTTGTAAATTACAGTAACATTATTTGATTTTGAGGACTTAAAAATTCTAAAATAGTGCTGCTGGGTTTTTAGAAACTGTAAAAATAATACTAATAGAGAAGCTTCTCCTTCTAATAATACTCTCTAAGTTCAATCTTTTATAGAAAATGTGTATAATTGTACATATATAATACCTCAAAGTAACTCAAACAATCATGTTGAAATATCTTTTAAAACTTTGTTGGATGTTGTAAAATATACTTCCAACATCTAAACATTTATTTCAACCAGTTACACTTTGTAGGAAGTGCAACCTTTTTAAAGGCTTTCATCTGTTTGAGCCAGTTTCTTTGTAGAAAAGCGTTTATATAAATGTTGTGCCTTATTTTCAAACAGTTATTGTGGCACTTGATTTTGAGGTATTACATAACTTTACATCCTATTTTATAATATGTGTCTTACTAATGATTTAAACTTCTCTTGTCTTTGATTTGAGTAAACTATGATAAACTAGCTAGAAAGTCATCAAAATATTCCCGACTTAGTTATTAAATATCCTTGTTTTCTTTCATCATCACATTATTATCCTGTCTTTAATTGGTTGGCGGTTTATACTTAAAGCATTTAAGTGTAACTCATTTATAGTTGCAGTATCATGTGTATGATTTGTACGTAACGATTGTGTTATTTATATGTTTTTTCTGAACAACGTTGTCACCAACCTTGACAACTAAATCTTCAATAATATAAATCATCTTCATTCAGTGACTTTTAATTTTCGATAAGAATTATTTTGAGAGATGATTTAATGTTTTTGAAATACCTACGGACAATTATGATTTAAAAAAATATAGTGTGACGAAAGAGCAGATTGTATTTGTAACTTTCTTGAAATGTTCACACTATATCTGTGGTACATATACATGCATTAGATTGTGGCAACTCTACTAATACAGAAATGTGTATCTCTTTGTAGTGAATCAGTAATTGCTGTTTGTGATGTGTTAAGTTCTCTAGTATTGATGACGTATATCTTTCTGTGTGTGAAGTTCCCTGGTATTGATGACGTATATCTATCTGTGTGATGTTCCCTAGTATTGATGACGTATATCTATTATATCTATCTGTGTGAAGTTCCCTGGTATTGATGACGTATATCTATCTGTGTGTGAAATTCCCTGGTATTGATGACGTATATCTATCTGTGTGAAGTTCCCTAGTATTGATGACGTATATCTATTATTTCTATCTGTGTGAAGTTCCCTAGTATTAATGACGTATATCTATCTGTTGTAGTTGTTGTTTTGATGACTACTACTGTTGTAGTTTGTTATGACTTCATATCTTTTACATTATGATTTACGTTGTACATATACCTAACCTTGATATTTCACCAACTACTTTAGATTAACTAATGGCATTTTAATATATAGGTTGAATTACTTTCTTGTTGTACACATACATATTTTTCGTTTCAGTAAAGGGTGGATATATTTTTTAAAAAACCACTGTTTTTACGATGTTGAGCCTTTAATGTGTCCTTTTGTTACTAAATTGAAATTGAATCCTACACATTAAGGGTAGGGTATACAGCTGTTGTTGAAAGATGATAAAAAGTGATTCATGATATTTTATGGTCCTGAACCCTTTCACCCCTATGCAACTTTAGTAGATTCTACCATGCATTGATATGGAAGAGTCCATTATGGTCTAAAGTGGTGAAAGGGTTAAAGTTTAATTTTGCTGTATAACATGAATTTAAGATTTCATAAGAATTTTTTCCTAAAAGTTCAATATTATAGACTGAATCATTACAATATAATTTTATAACCCTTTAAATTGATTCTTACTTGATAACAATTCTGTATGTATGAAAACGATCTGTTTATTATAGCTATGTGCCTCTGCTGTAATGGGTCAAGACTTTTCTTTTTGAAAAATATTTCTGTGAAGTTTGTTGAAACCTTTTTTACCACGTATGAGATAATGTAATTTTTAGGATTTTTTTTTATATATTCCAAAATTTTGATTTAGTCTGATTTTTAAAGTTCTACACCCTGATATTATGTACAATGTACTGTTGTATACATGTGTTTCCCAACACATATTTGTATTACATGTATCTATGTAGGACAGTTACATAGAATAGATTTATAAAGATAATTATAGATGAAGAACTCACTGTATATATTTCTGGCTTTTATCTTTTGTCTTGATATATATGTATACATATAAATTACTCCAGTCATTAAAATCTTACATGAAGCCTTATAAATATCTTCCTTGTGTTTTCCGCTTTCTTAGTAAAAGTGACATTGTCAGGACATAACATTGATAGGATGTTACACAAAAATGTCAATTAACTTTTATGAACCTGACATTAATGTAAAGTGAAATTAATGTGGTGTTACCATTGATAATAATGGCAATGTGGGTGTCAAGTGCGTTGGACCTATTACCTTTTAGCGGTAGGAAGGAAACTACTTTAATAATAACTGGCTTGTGAAGTAAATATTCTTATTATGAAGTTATATACATACATTATTGTGTAAATCGTTTAAGCATTGAACTGATTCTATTTGGTGTTCATGGTCGGTATGAATGCCAACTGGAAACGACAAATTCAGCATTAAGTCTGTCTGGAAATTACAAACTGAACATGAAACCTGTCTTGATGTTGAGTTTGTTATTTCCAGTTTGCATTCATACGGACTAGGAATGCCAACTGTTTTTGAGATATTTTAATCACTAAGAAAATTCAATGTATCCTGTATACTTGTTAGCTCACCTGGTCCAAAGGACCAAGGTGAGCTTATGACATACCGTGGCGTCCGTCGTCCATCCGTCAGCAATTTCTTTAAATGACTTCTTCTTAACCACTGATTGGAATTTAACTAAATTTGACTGGAAGCATCCCTAGGTGGTGGGGATTCAAAATTGTGCACTGGATATCAATCATATTTAGTCAAAAGCATTCATGGGAGGCAGGGATTCAAAATTGTACAAATGGTGGGGCCAAAAAGGGTTATTTGGCTATATTACTTTAAGCGACATCTTCTCTGGAACTAAGAAATGGATATCAACCATATTTGATTTGAAGCATCCCTAGGTGGTGGAGATTCAAAATTGTACAAATGGTGGGGCTGATGGCAGGGCCAAAACGGGGCAATTTGGCTATATAGCTATAAATGACTTCTTCTGTAGAACTATGCCATGGATATCAATCATATTTGGTCGGAACCATTCATTGGAGGCAGGGATTCAAAATTGTGCAAACAGTGGGGCTGACCCCCCAGGCTAAGGGGTCGGGCCAAAAAAGTTTATTACTTGGAAATGGTTGAGATCCCCACCATATAACAATATATACAATTGCTGAGTATAAAGAAAAGATTGCACATTTGCCTTCAGGATGGCCTTGGGGACTACCCCACCCTTGGAGACATAGTCCCTGGGCCATAACTTTGAAACGGTTGAGATCCCCACCCCAAAACTATATATACAAATGCTTGGCAGAAAGAGACGAATGCAGTCATGATATTAGAATAGACCCCAGGGTCTGCCCAACCCTTGCAGACTTAACCCCTGGGTCATAACTTTGGAAGGGTTGAGATCCCCACCTCAAAACTATATATACAAATGCTGGGCAAAAAGAGACAAATGCAGTCATGATATTAGAATTGATCCTGGGGTCTGGCCAAAACCCTAGGGGCCTAGTTTCTGAGTCACAGCTTGGAAACAGTTGATATCCCCACCCCAAAACCATACGTAAAATTGCTGGGCATGAAAAATCTAATACAGATATGCTACAAGGATTGGCATTGGGGTTTGGCATATTCCCTTTGATCTCATATGGAGAATATTTTGCCATGATTGCTTAGATATCCAGGTGAGCGATACAGGCCCTCTGGGCCTCTTGTTTAATGAAAGGAACAGACCTGTTCAGAGGAGAGGTATCGATCTTAAATTATAGCACTTCAACAGTTGGGTCCGAACTCTCATAACCGATATATTGATTGAACTTGATAAGAACTTGAACTTGAACTTGATTGCAGCTGGGTTTGGTAGGGTTATATAATGGAGATTCTCACCATGATGTTCTAGGCGCCACTTCTCACCATGATGTTCTAGGCGCCACTTCTCACCATGATGTTCTATGCGCCACTTCTCGCCATGATGTTCTAGACGCCACTTCTCACCATGATGTTCTAGGCGCCACTTCTCACCATGACGTTCTAGGCGCCACTTCTCACCATGATGTTCTAGGCGCCACTTCTCACCATGATGTTCTAGGCGCCACTTCAAGAAGACGGTATACGATAGAGCTGGCACAGTACTTAAAGCGTGGTCACATCAATTTACATTCAGGCCTCAAACTATTGGTCATCATAATGCTAAATTATATTCCACAAAGCACATCGTACATCAGTCTAAAAGTATAAAAAGGTGCTAGGACACAAAACCAAATATAAACGAAGAATTTACTTTTATAGACACCAAATACATCGAAGTAAAATAATTGTGTGCCCTTGATTGCATGCTAACATTGACAGTATAGAGGCCAATGTCTAACCCCACGAAGTCGACATCATGATGTTTGAAGTATAGGCCTGCCTCGAGCTCAGATTCGAATCCGGTTACATTTTCAACGTCAAGGATCAAGCTAAAATATTTCAAAATATTTTCGAGATTTTTTCTTCATTAGAAACTCGTTGCGAATGATATATACTATAGAGTCCGGAGTAATGTCAACACAGGTACAATGTAAATGGTTCTATGTAATGATATAGACCAGAGTACGGGGTAATGTCAACACAGGCAAATGGTTCTATGTAATGATATAGACCAGAGTACGGGGTAATGTCAACACAGGTAAATGGTTCTATGTGATGATATAGACCAGAGACCGGGGTAATGTCAACACAGGCAAATGGTTCTATGTAATGATATAGACCAGGGGTCCGGGGTAATGTCAACACAGGTAAATGGTTCTATGTGATGATATAGACCAGAGACCGGGGTAACGTCAACACAGGCAAATGGTTCTATGTAATGATATAGACCAGGGGTCCGGGTTAATGTCAACACAGGTAAATTGTTCTATGTAATGATATAGACCAGGGGTCCGGGTTAATGTCAACACAGGTAAATTGTTCTATGTAATGATATAGACCAGGGGTCCGGGTTAATGTCAACACAGGTAAATTGTTCTATGTAATGATATAGACCAGGAGTCCGGGGTAATGTCTACACAGGTAAATGGTTCTATGTAAGGATATAGACCAGGGGTCCGGGGTAAGGTCAACACAGGTAAATGGTTCTATGTAATGATATAGACCAGGAGTCCGGGATAATGTCAACAAAGACAAATGGTTCTATGTAATGATATAGACCATGAGTCCGTGGTAATGTCAACACAGGTAAATTGTTCTATGTAATGATATAGACCAGGGGTCCGGGGTAAGGTCAACGCAGGTAAATGGTTCTATGTAATGATATAGACCACGAGTCCGTGGTAATGTCAACACAGGTAAATTGTTCTATGTAATGATATAGACCAGGGGTCCGGGATAATGTCAACACAGGTAAATGGTTCTATGCAATGATATAGACTAGGGGTCCGGGGTAATGTCTACACAGGCAAATGGTTCTATGTAATGATATAGACCATGAGTCCGTGGTAATGTCAACACAGGTAAATGGTTCTATGCAATGATATAGACTAGGGGTCCGGGGTAATGTCTACACAGGGAAATGGTTCTATGTAATGATATAGACCAGGAGTCTGGGCTAATGTCAACACAGGTAAATGGTTCTATGCAATGTAATGATATTGACTAGGGGTCCGGGGTAATGTCTACACAGGTAAATTGTTCTATGTAATGATATAGACCAGGAGTCTGGGCTAATGTCAACACAGGTAAATGGTTCTATGGAATGATATAGACCAGAGTCCGGGATAATGTCAACAAAGCCAAATGGTTCTATGTAATGATATAGACCAGAGTCCGGGGTAATGTCAACACAGGAAAATGGTTCTATGCAATGATATAGACCAGAGTCCGCGGTAATGTCAACATAGGTAAATGGTTCTATGTAATGATATAGACCAGGGGCCCGGGGTAATGTCAACACAGGTAAATGGTGGGTCCGGGGTAAGGTCAACACAGGTAAATGGTTCTATGTGATGATATAGACCAGGAGTCCGGGGTAATGTCACCACAGGTAAATGGTTCTATGTAATGATATAGACCAGGAGTCTGGGCTAATGTCAACACAGGTAAATGGTTCTATGCAATGATATAGACCAGAGTCCGCGGTAATGTCAACATAGGTAAATGGTTCTATGTAATGATATAGAATGTCAACACAGGTACAATGTAAATGGTTCTATATAATGATATAGACCAAGAGTCCGGGGTAATGTCTACACAGGTAAATTGTTCTATGTAATGATATAGACCAGGGGTCCGGGATAATGTCAACACAGGTAAATGGTTCTATGCAATGATATAGACTAGGGGTCCGGGGTAATGTCTACACAGGGAAATGGTTCTATGTAATGATATAGACCAGGAGCCCGGGGTAATGTCAACACAGGTAAACGGTTCTATGTAATGATATAGACTAGGGGTCCGGGGTAATGTCTACACAGGTAAATGATTCTATGTAATGATATAGACCAGGAGTCCGGGGGAATGTCTACACAGGGAAATGGTTCTATGTAATGATATAGACCAGAGTCCGGGGTAATGTCCACACAGGTAAATGGTTCTATGTAAGGATATAGAACAGGGGTCCGGGGTAATGTTAACACAGGTAAATGGTTTTATGTAATGATATAGACCAGGAGCCCGGGGAAATGTCAACACAGGAAAATGGTTCTATGTAATGATATAGACCAGAGTCCGGCGTAATGTCAACACAGGTAAATGGTTCTATAGTACGGGGTAATGTCAACACAGGTAAATGGTTGTATGTAATGATATAGACCAGGAGTCCGGGGGTAAATGGTTCTATGTTATGATATAGACCAGAGCACGGGGTAATGTCAACACAGGTAAATGGTTGTATGTAATGATATAGACCAGGAGTCCGTGGTAGTGTCAACACAGGTAAATGGTTCTATGTAATTATATAGACCAGGAGTCCGGGGTAATGTCTACACAGGTAAATGATTCTATGTAATGATATAGACCAGGAGTCCAGGGTAATGTCAACACAGGTAAATGGTTCTTTGTAATGATATAGACCAGGCGTCCGGGGGAATGTAA